TGAAGAGATTATTTTATTGATATTTGGAGATCAAAACTGTGATTATAAATTTATTGAGGCAATTAGAGCCCTGACGCTATACTCGGAGATTTATTTGTAGTTTATTGTTGATCAATTGATTTAATCAAATGACGCATTCCAAAAATCGGGGCGTTACAATAATTAACCCAAAATAATAATATTTTTTATACATAATAATTACTTTTTTATATGAATGTAATTGTTGTTAAATTATTTAGGATCTACTTGATATTAATTTATTATTAATTAGTAATATCATATAATAATGATAATTATGCCACTTTTAACTATAACGTATCGTTCAGAGATGAAAGTGGATCAAAGCATGGCGAGGGATATAGTCTTCATTCTCGTACCCACTTAAAAAAAATTTGTCCATCTTCGGTCCACCTCCGTTAACAAGTATAGTTTTCATCTTCATTCTCATCTGCGGATAAATTTGTAATCCTTGTTCTTGTCGTGTCCCCCGCCTTCACCCCCACCCCCATTCCCATCCACTTTACCCACCTCAGTCCAAGTTAACATAATTCAAAATTTTAAATAAATCTAATATTCTAAATAATTATGAATAATTATAGTTAAAAGTTTGTCATCTACAACATAATCCAACGTAATATAATTAAAAGTTTGTCTCTCATGTACATTCAACACAACATTATATAACATAACATAATGTAATATAACATAATCCAACATAAAAACACGAAAATTATACTTTTACAAGCTAAAAATATGAAAAATAAAAAAAATAAAAATTTAAAAATAAAAATCATTCAATAATATATAGATTTATATTCACAGTAACATATAATAATAATAATAATAATAATAATAATAATAATAATAATAATAACGAATAAAGCGGGGAGGGGCGGGGTGGGACGAGGCAAGGGTAAGTGTCAATAAATCTCTGTCTTTATTCCTGCACGAGTTTATACGGATATCTTCATTTACATTCATCGTCTAATATATTTAATTCATCTCCAATCCAAATAGAACGAGTTTGAACAAATATCTAATTTTACATGGTGCACAACATTAGATATCATTAAGGTACGAATATGAAGTAGGACCAAAATTTGAAGTAGACTTTGTATCCACAGTTTCGTCTTTTCGTGTAGGCCTTGTTAGGGAGAGTTTATGGTACCACCTAGGAAAAAAGTAGTACCGTATCATCAAAAATGTGTGGTTGTCAATTTTTTGTTATTAAATATTACTCAAATGTGTGGTTGTGAATTTTTTATTATTAAATATTCACAATCACAAATTTGAGTAATATTTAATGACAAAAAATTGATGGTCACTCTTTTTTGGCGGTACAATACCGCTTTTTCCTTGAATGGTACGATAGACTCTCCCCCACTTTAAGACAAGAAAATATTGAGTGTCATATCATCATTAATTCAAAAATAAAAATAAGAATTAGTGAATGTTCCTTGTTTACGCCATTAAATTCAATCATAAGGATAAAGTTAAGCATACTTTTCCATCCTCTAATTCATTTTAATTAAATATTTTTTAAAAATAATCCTCGAACCCAATTTAATCATATTTTTAATCTCATTATGCAAAGAAGTAGAATCCAATCAATGTTTATTCAATTCTAATAAAATTCAGCCTCGATTTTAATGACCTAAACAATATTTTTACTGTTTGAGACATTAATATTAGATGAAATTCACTATTTAAAATTTTGTATATTTTAACGTTTTAGTAAATTATGTCCCAATTTTAATGACCAAAATGAAGAAATAAATTCAAATTTTGTCGTCTTAAACATTAAAATTAGATAAATTTTACTGTTTCATATTTTTTGTTTTGATTGAATATGAGATAGTATGTTGTGGTCAACTGTTTTTTAGTTCAATAATTTTGTTACTTTTGAGTTCATTGTTTTTCACTACTTTTTAGTTCAGTAATTTTTCATTTTTTTGGTATTCACTAATTTTTTACTGTTTTTTAGTTCAGTAATTTTTCATTAATTTTTAGTTCATTATTTTTAACTATTTTTAATTCACTAATTTATTATTATTTTATTTAATTTTATTTAATTTTTTATTATTTTGAGTAATGGATGGTGGTGATTGGCGGCGATGATGGTGGTGGTGGTTGACATTGATGATAGTTAGTGGTGGGTGGTTGACTAATTTTTTACTATTTTTTATGGTGGTGGTTGGTGGTAATGGTGGGCGTGATGGGGGTGGATTAAGTTTTTACCATTTTAGATAGTGATGGTTGTCAGCGATGATTGATGGTGGTAGTGGGTGATTGTGGTAGGTGGTAGATTAATTTTTTATTATTTTGAGTGGTAGGTGGTGGTGATATTAGTGATGGTAATGAGCGATGGTGGTAATGGATTATGGTGGTGGGTGGTGGGTGGTGGATTAGTTTTTTATTGTTGTGGGTGGTGAGTTAGTCTTTTTACTGTTTTGGATGACGGATGGAGATGGTTAGTGGCAATGGTGGTGGTTGGTGGTGACGATGTCGAGTGAGTGGTGATGGATTAGTTTTTTACTGTTTTGGGAAGTGAGTGATGGTGGTTGGCAGAGATGATGTGTGGTGGTGGTAGGTTGACAACAATGGTAGGTGGTGGTGGCGATGGCAGTGGGTAATGGTGGTTTGATTAGTTTTTTACTATTTTGAGTAGTGAATGGTGGTGATTGACGGCGATGATGGGTGGTGGTGGTGGTTGACATCGATGATAGGTAGTGGTGGGTAGTTGACTAATTTTTTACTATTTTTTTGTGGTGGTGGTTGGTGATGATGGGTGTGATGGGGGTGGATTAATTTTTTTACTATTTTATATAGTGATGGTTTGCGGCAATGATTGATGATGGTAGTGGGTGATTGTGGTAGGTGGTAGATTAGTTTTTTATTGTTTTGAGTGGTAGGTGGTGGTGGTGGGTTGGGGTGGTGGTGATATTGGTGATGGTAATGAGCACTGGTGGTAGTGGATTATGGTGGTGGGTGGCAAGTGGAAACGATATTGGGTGGTGGATTAGTTTTTTATTGTTGTGGGTCATGAGTTAGTCTTTTTACTGTTTTGGATGATGGATGGAGATGGTTGGCGGCAATAATGGTGGTTGATGGTGACTATGTCGAGTGAGTAGTGATGAATTAGTTTTTTACTGTTTTAGGAAGTGAGTGATGGTGGTTGGCAGACATGATACGTGGTGGTGGTGGTTGGTTGACAACAATGGTAAGGTGGTGGTGGCGATGGCAGTGGGTAGTGGTGGTTTGATTAGTTTTTTACTATCTTGAGTAATGGATGGTGGTGATTGGTGGCGATGATGGGTGGTGGTGGTTGACATTGATGATAGGTAGTGGTGGGTGGTTGAATAATTTTTTACTATTTTTTTTGTGGTGGTGGTTGGCGGTGATGGTGGGTGTGATGGGGGTGGATTAATTTTTTACTATTTTAGATAATGATGGTTAGCGGCGATGATTGATGATTGTAGTGGGTGATTGTGGTAGGTGGTAGATTAGTTTTTTATTGTTTTGAGTGGTAGGTGGTGGTGGTGATATTGGTGATGGTAATGAGCGCTGGTGGTAGTGGATTATGGTGGTGGGTGGCGAGTGGAAACGATGTTGGGTGGTGGATTAGTTTTTATTGTTGTGGGTGGTGAGTTAGTCTTTTTACTGTTTTGGATGATGGATGGAGTGGTTGGCGGCAATGGTGGTGGTTGGTGGTGACGATGTCGAGTGAGTGGTGATGGATTAGTTTTTTACTGTTTTGGGAAGTGAGTGATGGTGGTTGGCAGAGATGATGCGTGGTGGTGGTTGGTTGATTAGTTTTTCATTATTATGGGTGGTGGAAAGTGGTGGTTGACAACAATGGTAGGTGGTGGTGGCGATGACAGTGGTTAGTGGCGGGCTAATTTTTCACTGTTTTAGGTGATGGTGGGGGTGGTTGGCGTCGATGGTTGGTGGTGTGTGATGGTAATGGGTGGTAGATTAATTTTTTACTATTTTGGGTGGTGGTGATCGATAGCAATGTGTGTGGTAGTGGTTGGCAGTAGTCGTGGGTGATGGTGGTGGTGGTGGTGGTGGTGGAGATAATGGTGGTTGGAAGTGGCGGTGACAATTGGTGGGTAGCAGTGAGTTTTGGGTAATAGTGGATGGTGATAGACTAATTTTTCACTGTTTTAGATGATAGATAGTAATGATTGACAATGATGGTGAGTGGTGGTGGTGATTGGCAGCCATCGCGAGTTATTCCATTCAAGTGGGTTTTATTTTAAAAATATGTGTCCGGGATTCATAATTCCAACTGTATAGAAAAAAAAAAAGTATTTAGAGTTTATCTACATCCTTACCCAAGTGTAGGAATGGCCGTGGACGGGGCGGGGGAGTAGATTTTCATTGATAGTAAATCTAATGGATTTAGCAGGATGAAACCAATGAATCTAACTTGTAATGGATTAGATCTATAAATTAGGTCTGCATAGTATTATTATATTTTTTTAATTAAAAAATTAGAATTTCGTGAATACAAGAATCCAAAATGGATTAACATCCCCAATGACCAAAACAACTATATAAGAATGTGTATCCTTGACATTGATTAACAATAGCCTTCAACTTTTTTTTTTTGGGGGGAAAGGAGAGGGGGACTTGAACCCTTAACCTCAAGAAGACAAAATCTTACGAAACAAGGAGTACCATTAGACTCAAGGCCTATTGGTCACAATAGCCTTCAACTTACTCCAACATTTGTGATGTGATCTCCACATAAAACTCAACCAGTATGGCTTGATAATATAACGTTATAGGGACTTAATTCAGTATACTTATTGAATTAATTGTGAGTTTAATATTATAGATGAAGCTCACTTTTAATTTAATAATAATTATATTTAATTAGGTTCTTAAATTAAGTATTTAGATTAGGTTTAAATAATATTTTTCTTTCAAGCATACATACATGCTTTTGAAGATACACAATGAAATTATCTATGTATTGTTCATGTAGCTCTGTATCACCACATACCACACTCATCTCTTTTGCTTTCTCCCTTTGAACTTTTCCTTTCCTCTTCCACCATTATCAACCTCACTGGGTCGGCCACCGAGTGCCTTGTAAACGACCCGTCTGAGTCATCTCTTGGTATTTCTATTCCCACGTTTTCTTTCCCCAAAACCCTAGCATTCAACCCTTGTTCTGCTGTGAATGGCAGCGTTATCAATGAACGCCCAAGTTGTAGTCCCTCTATAACAGAACCCCACCCATAGTGTGTCAAGAACCCACTCACCGAGTCATGAGCCAGTATCTTGAGTTGAGGTACCCTACAAACCACTACACGGCCTTTTGTTCTCTCCTCAAAACCACGAGGTAGCTTAGCTGAGTCGGACCGAGTTAACCTGTGCAACTTTCTCCGGGACCAAAAGAAATGCAACCCGGACATAGCTTCAAACCTAAAGCTAACTCAGTAAGTGAATCTTGACTCAATGAGATCTGTTTCCAAAAGAAACATAGACCACATCAGACTCTCTCTCTTGTTTTTCCAGCCAATCAGAGGTTGCGAGCCATAGGAAGGTTTTGTCAACCCTATTGTCTTCAACTTTGGAGAACGGTTCAAAGTATTGGCGATACCGATATAAGTCGATCGAGTTATTCCGACTTTACACCTTCTAATATGATACCGTGTAACAATATGTATAAACTCTGAGTTCATACGACTCAGTCGATTTGTATCTGAGTTTATTCTGAGTTATTGAGTTATTGTCATCGAATCGATTAATACGATTCCTTGATGTCGCGGTATGACTTGAATCTTTTGTCATATTCAATATTTTTTAGGTCGTATCACCCGATATTAAATCGTGACATCGCGATCGATGTGTTTCAGAACTTTCCAAGTCTGCTTTGGAGGGCATTAAACCCAATGGAACACGAAGTTTTTATGTAAATCTGATGAAGCTTTTTCAACCAATCCTCTCCAACCTCCACGCAATCTCTTTATAACCAAAATGTCACACTCAGAAATTGCCCTTTCTAGCCTGTAATTATCCAAATCTAAAGGAGATGGGTCCCACTCCTTGAATCCCATTGGTCAATCACAACTGATGTGGTTCCCAATGAAGCCATACACCATGCATTGGCAATGCTGAACAAGGCACATGAGATTCCAAGCTTAGCTGCAGTGGAGGATAACCAATAAGCAGCAAAGTCATAGACGATCCAATCTGGAGTTGACTCGGTTTCGAGACCATCGAAGGCTTTCTTGAGGTGATGAACCTTGTCTAAAGGAACATTTATAGTGGCCTCGGCGTTAGTCGAGGTAGAGGAAGAGGAAGATTGACTAAATTTATTGCAGATGATAATTTTGGACGCAGTTTTGGCAAGCGTTTGATGTTTCTTGGGGTGGATATGAAGGAGATTTTGTGACCCTTTTGTGCAATGAACTTGGCGAGTTCCAGGTATATGGGATGATGTGATCGAAATAGAGCCATAGCAACATTGCTATGTAAAGCTTGTCTTCATTAGCCATAACTAGTATAACAGGTCTAAGAGAAGTAGGTGATAAATAATTTTATTTTTGTTTTAGAGAAATTAATTCTCGGGTTTGACTATGTGTGGGTGTTGGTTGCATTTCTCTACCTAAAGAAATTGAGGCATTGCATTTAAACGATCCATTTGAGCTTCAACATTGCTTTTCCTCACTGGAGCAGGAAAATCACGAATAGATCCATAGATTTTATCTTAATATTGATCAAAAGTGCAAATCGATAAAACAACTAAAAGAAAGTTCGATTCTTTACGATTTTTCTTTTTTTTCAAATGGAATGAACAGAGATTTTTCTTTTTTTTTCAAATGGAATGAAGAGAGATAGAATCAAGCTAATTTTTCTAATGTCTTTTCAAATATTCTTTAATGTCCCGACTATTCACGAAATGTGAAAAACAGATAATTACTCGAACTAGCATTGCTCCCATCTCGATATCAACAACACAAACAAAATATGCAGATGACAGTTTCTTAGGAAATTCTGAATCTAGTTATTCAATTACAGCTTTAAGGAATTTGAGCAAACATGGGAGGGGCTAATTAATTAAAAGACCACAAACAAAACAAATTTTGTCAAACACTTCTTTCCCCATCCTTGTCCAACTTATTTCCAATTTGTTCAAGTACCGTTTGGCAAAGCTTTTTGATATAGTACTTTTATTACTTTTCTACCATTTTGTGAGTGTTATTTGAAAGCAAAGTTGGTTTTTTACATTTTTTTTTGGTTTTTTCCTCATCGAATCATACTCCCTTCTTCTAACCTTAATTATATGAACAGTATAAATATGTATGAAGAATTTATTTTTCATTAATACTCTAGTTTCGACTTGGATAACCTACATTTGACCGGATCAAGGAGGAGATTAGTTAAAGTGTGCGTAAGCTTGTTCAAACACGCCTAATCGTTGAATCAAAAAAAAATAGTTAAAAAAAAAAATCCATGTAAATTGCATTTAGATCAATTTAGTATAGGAATAAGGAAATGTAACACAAGTACTCCCTTAGTGGAGCTCTCCTAAATCCTTGATTGGATTCTTTCTAGTTTGGTCAATCGCCTAACCCTTTATTATTACATTTCTAAGAGTACAATGTGATATTTTCTAAGAGTACTAAACTATTCATTTGCTTGGGGTAATGAGTTAAAAAACAGGTTAGGATCAACGAGTGAAGTCGATAAACATAACAAGTCTAAGGACTAGAAGAAGTGAAAATAGGTTCAACCATCGGGAGAGAGAGATTAAGAAAGAAAAAAAACATTTAACAGGTACATTACATTTATATTATAAAGTCTATATCATGCTTACATAGGAAGATCACTTAAAAGACACAAAACTATCCATTATATATTGTACATTATTTAGGAAGTTTGTATTCATATGATATGTTAATCGTCCTTGGAAAGATGCCTATGTTTTTTAAGATACTCTACCAGTTTATCTATGTATTGGCTATGAAGGTCTTTGTCTCCAAATGTTGTCTTCATCTCCTTTGCTGCCTCTCTGTAAGTCATTCCTTTAACATCAACCACCACCAAACTCAGTGACTCAGCCACCGAGTTCCGAGTAAACGAGCCATCTTCTTCGTTTCTTGGTGATGATACCTAAAATAAATTTCAAGTGCTAAGCTCAGGAGGTCAGCTCGGACCAGGAGGTTAGGCACATTACCAGAGGTCAGAGACTAAGGGCCGAGTGTCTCTTAAGGCAAGATAACAGTTGGATAACCACAAGAGGATCCTAAAGCGTTAGGGGCACCCAATTTCAACCAACCAAGATCTTCTCTTAGAATTATGGAGAAGCCCATGAAATAAGGGCAATAATCTCGGCTAAGATCCAACTTAGCAGGGAAGGGCCTTATAAATGCAAGGTAACACCCCCTAATAGGGGGGGGGGAACCCTAGTGGCAAAAAGAAGTCATAGCAACCTTGTAATCACCGTGAATAAAACAAAAGGAGCAAAAACCTTCATTCCAGAGTGGACTAGCCGAGCTCCCAAGCTGGTGAACTACTATAATTCTGTTGTCTTAACTTCCAAAGCTCTGGATATTATTGCATCATCTTAGCAACCTAACGTAATCTCAGCTCATCTTTTGTAAAAGCGCGTTAACGCCATCAATTTGGCGCTGTCTGTGGGAAACGACTGTTCCTGTTACAAATAAAGCTGATTTTTCAATAACTGATAGTATCAACGCGAAACATGAGCCGAAGTCAGACCAATCCTCTACGGATGCAAGATCAACAAGAAGCCGCAAATAGCAGACAACCCGAAAATGCACAAGAAGTTGATCCTCCCATGGGGGGCCTTCCCATGAATAAAGAGATGGAGGCCCTTCGTCTTGTTAATGAACGTCTGATAAAACAGAACAAAGAGCTCTTAAAGCTCCTACAACGCCCACAGGAGGCACGACTGGCCCAAGGAGGCCAGAATAATCCACCACCAAGGGAGCAACCATATCTCGACCCCCTCAGAGAAGTTAATGAGGTGGGAAAGAATGGCCAGACCTTGGGGCAAGAACCTCGCCTACAGAAGGGGAGAGGAGCGACTTCTTCCCTTATCAATAGGAGAGAAGAGAATACCACTAGGAGCAACGTTTCAAAGACATCCAGCAAAAGCTCAGCCAGATGAAGGAGGCAGTGAAGAGCAAGGCCCCAGTCACTATGGATGCCTTGGTGCAGCAAACTGAATCCCCATTCATTGCTGGGGTGCTGCACTACCTTCTCCCACCTAAATTCAGAATGCCGCAGGTGGATGCTTTCGATGGGACAAAAGATCCCGTGGACCACCTCAACACCTACAAAAATCAAATGAAGTTGCATGGATATCAAGATCTAGTGAGATGCAAGGCCTTTGCTATCACCCTGAAGGGCTCAGCCTTAGCATGGTTCAACAGACTCCCCTCAGCCTCGATTTTCTCTTTTAAAGAGTTGTCAATCTCGTTTGTGTCCCACTTCATCGGAGCTCGGACCTATAGGAAACCGAGCTACCATTTGTTAAATGTGAAACAGGGACTTGATGAGAACCTACGGTCTTATGTCCAACGGTTCAACTCAGAATCCTTGAAGGTGGATGTCCCAGACAAAAAGTTTGCTATTACAGCCTTCATAGCAGGTCTAGGAGTTTAGTCAAAAGATCTGATGTTTTTTATCTCAAAGAACCCCTAGGCTAGTATAGCGGAGGTGCTTGCCAAAGCAGAAAAGTACATAAATGGTGAGGAAGCGCTCCTCTCCGAGGTCGGGAGCTCTTCGTCGAGAAAGGAGAAAGGGAAAGAAGAAAAGAAGAGAGATCGAAGTCCCAGAAAGGAAAGAGAATGAGGAAGGTCTCCAAGAAGAGACAGAGAACGTTCCCTGAAGAGAAAAGAAAATGTCAGGGATCATCATGGCCTTCCACAACCAGAGCTACAACCAAGGTATGCACCCTGACAGCTCACCCCTCTGACTGCTACGGTGTCTCAGATACTGTATGAGGTGCAAAATGAGAAGTTCTTAAGGTGGCCACCTCGGATGAAAGCAGACCCGGTAAAAAGGGATCCTACGAAGTATTGTGACTTCCACAAAGACCATGGTCATCACACCGATGATTGTATCCAATTGAAGAAGGAAATACAATTTCTAATCCAGCGAGGGCAGCTGCGACGCTATGTGGCCAATGATAATCAAAACGAGCTCTCCCACCTCCACCCCCTCAGCGTCAAGCACCAGAGTCACACCAGCAATTGATGGGGGAGATCAGAGTGATATCTGGAGGATTTGTCAAAGGAGGAGGGTCCAACTTTGTCAAAAAGGCCCACTTACGAAAAATCAGAGCCACAGAAGCTCCCGAAGTATATACTGTGTCTAAATCTCCACAGTTAGACACGGTTATCACTTTCTCAGATTCAGATCTGGAGGGCTGCCAACATCCCCATGATGACCCTTTGGTGGTAAGAGCTGTGGTGGCCAACAGGATTGTCCATCTTGTTTTGATTGACAATGGTAGCTCGACAGATATCATTTTTGCTTCTGCTTTCGACAAAATGGATATAGGAAGGGAAAACTTGAACCAGTAAGTACCCACCTATTGGGATTCTCAGGAGAAAGGGTGCTGCCCCTAGGGTCAATCCAACTCATCTTGACCTTAGGTGACCCACCCTGTCAAACTACAACAATGTGAAATTTCTAGTGGTTGATGCACCTTCAGCATACAATATGCTCCTTGGAAGACCCTCGCTCAATTCTATAAGGGCTATTCCCTCTGTCTATCACCTTGTAGTGAAATTTCCAACAGAAAATAGAGTTGGAGTGGTCCGTGGAGACTAGCACGTAGCACGGGAATACGGCATGGCATCCATGAGAAATAAGGAGGTTGAGAGCATCTAATTGGATGAGCTTGACATGAGGGATGAACTCGAGACCAGGCCAATACCATCAAAAGAGCTGGAATCTGTTCAAATTGATGAGGAGCAAGAACATCTTATTTACGTTGGATCCAAGCTGAGTTAGGAGATTAAGGATCTCCTCATCCAATTCCTAAAAAGGAACAAAGAAGTTTTTGCATGGAAGCAAGAGGACATGAAAGGGATTGATCATTCTGTCATCACTCACAAGCTCAGGGTGAATCCAGCATGTAAGCCCGTTAAGCAGAAGAGGAGGAGCTTCACCCTGGAGCGTCAGAAAGCCATCAACGAAGAGGTCAGCAAGCTCTTTCACGCGAAAGCCATTCGAGAAGTGGATTACCCAGTCTGGCTAGCCAATGTAGTCCTAGTCAAGAAGACAAATGGTAAATGGCGTCTTTGCATTGACTTTACAGACCTCAACTGTGCTTGTCCGAAAGATAATTTTCCTTTACCCCGGATAGATTTGATTGTAGATGCCACTGCGGGACATGAGCTCCTCAACTTCATGGATGTCTTCTCTAGGTACAATCAGATCAGGATGGATCCCAGTGACCAAGAGAAGACCTCATTCATAAC